GTAGATCTGAGGAGAACTTCAGAGTAGTCGTGAGGAGAACTTCAGAGTAGTTCTGATGAAACTTCAGAGTAGTTCTGTGAAGCGCGTTTCAGAGTACATCTGGGGAGAACTTCAGGGTAGTTCTGAGGAGAAGTTCAAACTAATTCTGAAGAGAACTTCAGAATAGTTTTGAGAAGAACTTCACAGTAGTTCTGAGGAGAACTTCAGAGTAATTCTGAGGAAAATTTCAGAGTAGTTCTGAGGAGAACTTAAGAGCTTTTCTGTGGAGAGTTTCAGAGTAAGTATGACCACAGAGTAGTTCTGAGGAGACCCTCATAGTAGTTCTGAGGAGAAATTCAGAGTAGTCCTGAGGAGAAGTTCAAAGTAGTTCTGTCGATAGTTTCAGAGTAGATCTGAGGAGAACTTCAGAGTAGTTCTGAGGAGAAGTTGAAAGTAATTCTGAGGAGAACTTCAAAGTAGTTCTGAGGAGAACCATAGACTAATTCTGAGGAAAATTTCAAAGTAGTTCTGTGGAGAGTTTCAGAGTGGATCTGAGGAGAACTTTAGAGTAGTTCTGAGGAGAAGTTCAAAGTAATTCTGAGGAGAACTTCAAAATAGTTCTGAGAAGAACTTCAAAATAGTTCTGAAGAGAAGTTCACAGTAGTTCTGAGGAGAACTTCATAGTAGTTCTAAGGAGAACTTCAGAGTAATTCTGAGGAAAAATTCAAAATATTTCTGAGAAGAACTTCAAAGTAGTTCTGAGGAGAAGTTCACAGTAGTTCTGAGGAGAAGTTCACAGTAGTTCTGAGGAGAACTTCAGAGTAGTTTTGTGGAGAGTTTCAGAGTAGATCTGAGGAGAACTTCAAAGTAGTTCTGAAGATAAGTACAAAGTAGTTCTGAAGAGACCTTCAGAGTAATTCTGAGGAAAATTTCAGAGTAGTTCTGAGGAGAGTTAAAGAGTAAGTCTGAGGAGAGCTTCAGAGTAGTTCTGTGGAGAGTTTCATAGTAGATTTGAAAAGATCTTCAGAGTAGTTCTGACGAGAACTTCAGAGTATTTTTGTGGAAAGTTTCAGAGTAAATCTGAGGAGAACTTCAGAGTAGTTCTTAGAAGAATTTCAAAGTAATTCTGAGGAGAACTTCAAAGTAGTTTCGAGAAGAACTTCAAAGTAGTTCTGAGGAGAAGTTCAAAGTAGTTCTGAGGAGAACTTCAGAGTAGTTCTGAGGAAACTTCAGAGTTTTTTCTGTGGAGAGTTTCAGAGTAAGTCTGAGGAGAACTTCAGAGTAGTTCTGAGGAGACTTTCATTGTAATTCTGAGGAGGACTTCAGAGTAGTTCTGAGGAGAACTTCACAGTAGTTCTGAGGAGAAGCTCAAAGTAGTTCTGAGGAGAACTTCAGAGTAGTTCTGAAAAGAGCTTCAGAGAAGATCTGAGGAGAGTTTCAGAGTAGATCTAAGGAGAACTTCAGAGTAGTTTTGAGGAGAAGTTCAAAGAAATTCTGAGGAGAACTTCAAAGTAATTCTGAGGAGAGTTTCAGAGTAAGTCTGAGGAGAGCTTCAGAGTTGTTCTGTGAAGAGTTTCATAGTAGATTTGAGAAGATCTTCAGAGTAGTTCTGAAGAGAACTTCAAAGCAGTTCTGAGGAGAACTTCAGAGTAATTCTGAGAAAAATTTCAAAGTAGTTCTGATGAGAACTTTAGAGTTTTTCTGCGGAGAGTTTCAGAGTAAGTCTGAGGCCAACTTCAGAGCAGTTCTGAGAAAAATTTCAAAGTAATTCTGAGGAGAATTTCAAAGTAGTTTTGAGAAGAACTTCAAAGTAGTTCTGCGGAGAAGTTCAAAGTAGTTCCGAGGAGAACTTCAGAGTAGTTCTGAGGAAAATTTCAGAGTAGTTCTGAGGAAACTTCAGAGTTTTTCTGTGGAGAGTTTCATAGTAAGTCTGAAGAGAACTTCAGAGTAGTTCTGAGAAGAACTTCAGAGTAGTTCTGTGGAGAGTTTCATAGTAGATTTGAGAAGATCTTCAGAGTAGTTCTGTGGAAAGTTTCAGAGTAAATCTGAGGAGAACTTCAGAGTAGTTCTGAGAAGAAGTTCAAGGTAATTCTGGCGAGAACTTCAAAGTAGTTTTGAGAAGAAGTTCAAAGTAGTTCTGAGGAGAACTTCAGAGTAGTTCTGAGGAAAATTTCAGAGTAGTTCTGAGGAAACTTCAGAGTTTTTCTGTGCAGAGTTTCAGAGTAAGTCTGAGGAGGACTTCAGAGTAGTTCTGAGGAGACCTTCATTGTAATTCTGAGGAGGACTTCAGAGTAGGTCTGAGGAGAATTTCAGAGTAGTTCTGAGGAGAACTTCAGAGTAGTTCTGAGGAGAACTTCAGAGTAGTTCTGAGGAGAAGCTCAAAGTAATTCTGAGGAGAACTTCAAAGTAGTTCTGAGGAGACCTTCATAGTAGTTCTGAGGAGAACTTCAGAGTAGTTCTGAAGAGAGCTTCAGAGAAGATCTGAGGAGAGTTTCATAGTAGATCTGAGAGGAGCTTCGTAGTAGTTTTGAGGAGAAGTTCAAAGTAATTCTGAGGAGAACTTCAAAGTAATTCTAAGGAGAGTTTCAGAGTGAGTCTGAGGAGAACTTCAGAGTAGTTCTGACGTGACCTTCAGAGTAGTTCTGAGGAGAACTTCAGAGTAGTTCTGAAGAGAAGTTCAAAACAGTTCTGAGGAGAGTTTCAAAGTAGATCTGAGGAGAACTTAAGATTTATTCCGAGGAAAATTTCAGAGTAGTTCTGAGGAGAACTTCAAAGTATTTCTGTGGAGATTTTCAGAGTAAGTCTGAGGAGAAGTTAAGAGTAGTTCTGATGAGACCTTCAGAGTAGTTTTGAGGAGAAGTTTAGAATATTTCTGAGGAGAACCTCAGAGTAGTTCTCAGGAGAAGTTCAAAGTAAGTCTGAGGAGAACTTCAGAGTATTTCTGAAGAGAATTTCCGAGAACTCCAGAAAAGTTGCATTTTTTTTTTGGATATTTATGAAACTTCCTGGGAGCACCCGGAAATTGTCTAGCCAGCTGAGTACTTAATATGGCCACCAATGCTCTTATTTTTGAATTTTCATGTTGTTTGATATGTCACATGAGGATGTTGGTCCAAGTTTTACTTCCCCGAAGGAACCCGGAACATGTCCGGATCTGGCCAACGTGGTCCTGAGTACTTAATATGGCCACCAACGATCTTATTTTTGAATTCTGATGTAGTTTTATTAGTCACACTTGGGTGTTGAGAAGAATGTGGCCACTTACCCGTGGGTACCCAGAACATGTCCGGATGTGGCCAACATGGTTCTGAATGGAAAATTTGCGCTTGCCGCTATGCCGCGTCAGATCCTGGTGTAATGTGGATGACCCTTAACAGCTGGGCCTTTGAGGTGTCAATAGATTTGTATGGGTTTGAATTAGCAGGTAGGCGTTCGAAATTACTATTGATCTCTTTAAAAAAAATTGAAACTTTTCACTACAACAACAGGAAGTTTGAGGTGTCTATATAAATTTTAAAATTGTTAGGGTAGGATAAAAGTATGTTGCGTGGATGAAAAAAATCACAGGAGGGCGAAAGGGATGTGAACTATAAATCTACTGTTCTAGTTCTTGAAATTCTTCAAATCGGTCCATAATGTGGTGTTTATATCTGTGCTGATTTACTAGTGCTAGAGTACTAAAACTGCACTAAAAAGTAGCCAACATAATGTAAACAGGGCGTCAGCATTTACCAGCATGAGATTTCAGGAGCAACTGAAATTCGTACTAGTTGGTTGAGCTGATTGAGTTATTGAACTAGCATAAGTGTAAACACCCTTTATACCGGCCTTTGAAGTTTTCTGTAGCAATTGCAGAATCCATTGAACATGACCTTCCCCACAATGAGTCTGTGGTGAATTTTCACAAAAATTTGACACTTCGCCAATAATTTAAAATGTTCGAGAATCCCTTTGTTGTTGATCGACAAATTTTGGAATAGGTGTTTGTCGAAATGAATTTTTTGCCTGCCAGAAATAAGCTTGATTGAATAACAGCGTTAAAAGAAAATTATCCATTATTGTCAAATTTAATAGCAAATCTACCGAATGGAACACAGCCTTAAGTGTTAATTTATATGTAAATTCCGAAATTGGAAATTTGAACACCTTAGAGTGTTACAAAAACCGAAACAAAACTAGAATCGAACTGAGGGGAAAGAAGCAAAATGCAAAAATCAATGAATAAATTAAAGAATAGTGATAAATAAAAATCGATTCAAGACAATACTAAAACAGTTTGAAAAACTCAAAGAACACGAAAATGAACCCAAATATCTAAAATCTATTTACACACAACACAGTGATGACCAAATTTTGTCAGTCCCTCAACGCATCAGACTTTTATCTTTCTATATAATTTAACATAACTGTAATTCCAAATACTTCTCATTCATCACCACAGAAAAACCGCATGGGTTTTGTAGAACATATGAAAAGATTTTCAAAATAGGGGATGACAAAATCGGGTTATTACAAAAACTGGCAAAACAAAAAAATAAAAAAAATAAACACCATATGAATGTTTGAAAATAAGTATAACTAAAGCATTATCTCAAATAATAGTAATTGCTTTGAGAGGATTCTGTAGACTATGATTAAGACTTGTAGAATGCTTTAAAACCTCGATAAAACTTGCAATGTTTATGGGACGACCCGGCCCCGTAGTGTTTATCGTCCAAGTTTATCGACGCCTAAGTCACGAGTTCAATTCTCGTTCACGGACCAGTCACGAATGACCCGAGAGTGTTAAAGTGACTCTAATAAAAAAAAACTTGCAATGTTACTTGCGATCAGACGCATAAAAACCGCAACAGATGTACTGATGAAATTTCGCAAAATCATATTCTCGAAGGTTAAAAAGACAGGAATGTAGAAACAAATTTCTCAAGCACCACTCTCGTTGAAATGTTAGCAATAAAATCAATCAACACAACGCAAATAACGACAAACAAACAAACAAAACGTCACCCCAATCTACGTACAGCCTACTGCGACGAAAGCGACAGACCCGCCTGCTCCTCAGCACAGCGAATCCATCGAGGGCTCCTTGATGGAAAGCTTACGAAAGTTGCGCTGCTTCGGACTAGCCGAGGGCGATTCCTCGTTACCGGTAGTCACTTCTTCACCGCCACCACCAATATTAGGATTACTGTCGACCAGGGGCCCACCTCTAGCGGTAGCGCCACCACCATTGGTGGCATTGAAATGCAGATACCCGTTGGCGTGTGAATGCTTAATGGCCGGCCGTGGCGTCGACGGTTCGCATCCGGCGTCGTCCGACGAGGACGAACTGTCCGAATCGTCGCTCGACGAAGACGGAACTGTACATCAGCGACATAACGACAAACAGAAAGTAGAGACGTTACTAGCGTACAACGACGGGGAGGGGGATTATTTTCTCATGAGCAAGCGATTAGAAGCCTCAAGCAAGCAGTGTAAATTGATGGAACGGTAAAGCAGTAACCTACCTAGCCCTTGCTTGTTGAGCTCCTTCTTGACCTCGTGCAGTTGCCGTGCACTGCACAGAGGTGTATCCACTTCGTACGTATTATTGAACATGGTGTAGTCCACCTGAAACGAAAGTATTCAATCGATTAGACATTTCATCCCTTGCTTAAAAGTGGGTCATAACGCATCGAAAACGCTCCGCTAATCACATCTCATCTCCGCGAGATGGAAACATGAAATTTTCCAATTCGGGAGAGAGTGCAAGAATGGCCGCCAGCTCACAGTGGGCATGCGCTCAGTTGACGCATGCGAAACAAAGCGTCGCCACCGCCGCCACCATTCATTCATCGCAGCAAGCGGCGAGCGAGCTGAAAATTCTCACCTCGTACTCTCCGGTGTCTCGCTTGAACTTAACGACCGACTCGAATCGATGACCCCACAGGACTTCCGACGGCAGAAAGCTACTTCGCGCCTGGGTTGTCATTCCGGTAGATTCTACTACTCCCTCTGAAAGATAGATTGTGGAAAAATGGTTAGTTGTTCGGAAACAAAAGCCCCCAGAAAAAACTGACCAAGCATAACGACTATTTCGAACCGCTCTCGAAGCATATCCTGCGCGGAGAGATTGTACAGCGGACTGTCCTTATCAATCTTATGAACGACTATGGTTGGCCAAATGAACATCAACCGGTCATCGCCGCCATCGCAGCTGAGCTCCATGTTTTGCTGGTAGAACGGCATAATTTCTCCCTCTTTGGTGATCTGTAAAGTGTTGGAAAACAACTTAGTTAGTACCAGTTCCCTTGAGACACCCCGGGGTTCAACTCACCTTCCTTCGGATGATCTGTGACGTAACGTGCGCCTCGATGATATGGCTCTTGCGCATGTCACCGACGCGGAACATCAAGCACGGCACCCCGTCCCGGTGGCAAATGACGGCGTTACGCGAAAACAGTAACGTCTGGGCACGTTTCTTTGGGCGGGACAGCTTGGCGAACACGATGCCGACCATAAATGCTTGTATGAACACTCCGGTGATGCTCTGCAAGGCCAGTATGAACACGGCCTCGGGACATTCCTCCGTCACAAAGCGGTTTCCGTAACCAATGGTGTGCTGCGTTTCCAGCGAGAACAGAAATGCAGACGTGAAACCGTATATGCACGTAACGCACGGCTGGTGTTGAGTATCTAAAATTCACAAAAGATCATCAATATCGTGAAAAAAAAATTCGTCATTGAAGCTATCCATCCGAACCTCCGTTGGCGTGAGCGGCCACGTCGCCATGGCTGTACGAGATCAGATACCAAATGATGGCGAATCCCAACCAGGACAGGACGAAGCTCAACGCGAACACCACCAACGTCCAGCGCCACTGGATGTCGACCAGGGTGGTGAAAATGTCCTACAAGTAGGCAATATGCAAACAGAGAGAAAGAGAGAGAGAGAATAAAAAGCGTGAGTTTGTGTAATCTAATAAGCAGGCGCTGCTGGCGGGGCTGGACTAGAACGGTCGTGCAGCAAACTGAGCAACTGACGATGGAGCATTGCTCTAGTACTGCGCTGCTCTATAAGTGGGTGGTAAGAAATGCTGTGGTGAGATTAGTTCCGTGTGGGGAGTCGACAGCTCAATGAAAGGGGGCTTGACTCGGTGCAGATTCGAATCGACCGGTCACATCTATAAAGCTGGAACACAAATTCCCCACGAAGAGCAGCCTGCTGTTTGAAAAAATATTTCATTTCCTTATCTTTCCCCCTGTTGGCTGAGTGAATGGGTAAACATCCGGTGAGTCATGTGATGAAAGGCGACCATTTTTGCTGCAGCGAATGGCTGAAAGCATGCACACTTCTAGATAGAGCTGGAATTAGGGCATAATAGCTTTTGTAAACAATGACTTCTACCGATGATTATTGTTTACAAAAGCTGTTACGCCCTAATTCCTGCTCTATCTAGACTTGTAGCGAATTTGTGTTTGATTCAGTTCCAACCTGGATCGGGTATCAAGATTGGGTCGGCTTGTTGTCTGTCAAACGTTTTATTTATTTTGTTCTTGTATCCTGGTTCGGGTTGAGGTTCGCGCTGACAATAAGCTTGAGTTCGCACGGGTTGGATGGTAGTTTCAGCACCACAACATCAGGGAATTAAGAAAATCCTATCTTCCGATGCTTCCCGCCGATAAAAACACTAGTAAACGGAATCATGCTCATGGAACATCTGAGATCATGGATTATCATTTCTGGTACACATCATGAACAGCAACAAAAACGATAACCCACTGATATGGTAACAGTCACTGGGTAATGGGTTTCAAAATCTAGGAACTTGCTATGTTCGGCAAAGTTGTTCTGGAGGTCAAATACTTTTACAATGTGGAAATTTTTGGAACCGGAATGACATGTAAATGTTTTGAAATCCAAGATGGCGGTGTCAGAAAAACTGTTAAATTTCCTACAATGAGGGTATTTTTGGGAGCGGGACGACGTGTATAGGCGATGTCCTGAAAATGAAAAACTGTCAAATGCCATGCTATTTTTGGTCACAGGATGAATAATGGACGATTTCAACAATACACATATTGTAGGTTACAGTTTTTTTTCGAATGGCCTCCATCTTGGATTCTAAAATGGCGGCTGCCATAAATTTTTTACATTTGCATGTCATCCAGGTTGGTAAGTGAACCAGGAAAACCAGGAAAACCGGGAAAAAGTCGGGAATTTATTTTCACCAGGAAAAACCGGGAAAAAAAACCAGGTATTTCATAAGTCCACCAGGAAAATAATCTTGTTTGTATAATTTAAAAAGGTTTCAAATTTTATGTATGTCAAAGTTTCTTTTTATAATCAGGTCAAAACTAACCATTTTGTTCCAGCTAAATCTTTCACACAACTAAACATTGATGAACAAAATTTACCCTAAGATTTTAGTATATATGTTTTGTATTTATTTTTAATTTAATTTTTTTCTCGAATCAATTGCATGTATGATTTGTGGTTAATTGATAGCAGACTTAAGCAGTGCCGACGCGTAACTACTTTGAAGTACCTGTTCTACTAAATTCGGGAAAGTCTTACAAGTTTCAGGAAAATCCTGTGAACTACTGTGATGATCTACGACGGTCAGGAAATCTCTTCGAACCTTCAAAGAAGTTCTACAAATTTCAGAGAAGTCTTACAAACTTCAGGGAAATCCTTTAATCTTTGGGGAATAACTAGGAATTTTACAGAATTTTCTACAGATTTAATGTTCGACATTTAGGCATTGCTTAAAACTTAAGGATAATCCTATGACACTTATGGATTTTTCCGAGCTTCAGAGAAGTCTTCAATACTTTTGGGAAGTCCTCTGAACTAAACATAGTTCTCCAAGCTCAAAAAAGTTCCTAGTACTTCCGAGAAGTCGATTGAACTACAGGTAGTCCTACGAAATTCATGGGAGCTCTACAAACTTCAGAAATTAAGGAAAGACCCACAAACTTTTGGAAAACCCTTCGACATTTAAAGCCTTATGAACCTCAGGGAAGCTCTTATAAATTTAGGGTCCTCATATATTCAGTTAAGTCCTTCAAACTTCAGGGAAGTCCTCAGATCTTCGAGCAAGTTCTTCGAACTTGAAGGAAGTCTTACGAACTTCTGAGAATTTCTACGAACTTCGTGGTACTTCTACGATACTTAAGAAATTCCTATGAATTTCAAAAAACTCTGAACTTCAGGGAAGTTCTAAGATCTAAAAAAATTCTTCGAACTTCGAGGAAGTCCCATGAAATTCAGATAATACAAACTTCAATGAACCCTTCAGGAAAGACCTTAACGCTTCAGGGAAGTTCTATGACGCGTTCATCTAGATAAAATTGATAAATAGTACATTTTTAGCGATGGACCCAACCTATAGGGGAAATGTAGGTAATGTCGGCCTACATGTCCCTAATTTGGGCCCATCGCTAAAAGTCGGCTATTTATCAATTTTATCTAGATGAACGCTTCATTGGGACGGTTCTAATGGATATTTTTGGTCGCTATTGAAAATTTAGTCGATTGCTGAATTTATGTATGGGCCCAAATAAGGGACATGTAGGCTGACATTACCTACATTTCCCCTATACATATCAAGCTAAACATTGCATTAGGTCCTAAGTAACATTGATCGATTCTCTTCGTCGACTTTCTCTTTCGTTAATACCTTGAGCACATAACCGTTTCTTGTTGTGTTTGTCGTATTAGATACTAAATAAAAGCTTCATTTATCGATCTGTGTGCAGAAAATACCTGGGAATGTCTTTACATGGCCGTGGGGATACAAAGAGAAAGTCGACGAAGAGAATCTGTCAATGTTACTTAGGACCTAATGCAATGTTCAGCTTGATATATATGTAGACCGACATTACGTTCATTTCGCCTATATTATTATTTTTAATTTGCATTGAAGTTTTTTTAACTAAATTTTTCAGTTTATATTTGTTTACATTGACGTCCAGTAATTAAAATCTAAGCCCTTGCAGACTCATAACAGTATATAATCCTTATGGCCCTTCAATCCTGTCCATTGAGTCTTTATAAGTAGTGTCCATTGTGATCTCCCAAGAACTATCGAACATTCACACCATGTGTTTGTCGAGCTGTATTCTGATTCCTCTGTACTAGTCTTTCTCAAATACGAGAATCGATTTGATTTTCTTTATTTAGGAGATCTTCAGCCGCAGTTCATCTCCGAGATCAAACACGAGAATTCCGTGGCATTTCAATCTATTAAAGGATCCTAATTTGTGTTTAAAATTAGTGAACGTTTAAGATTTTAAAAATGTACGTAGCTTCCGACATAACAATTTATGATTGATAGAATCGAAAGCTTTACTAAAATCCAAAAGAACTAGAACTGTTAGATTACGTTTGTCAAGCGCAGTTTTTATATCGTTTTCTATTTTAATCAAAGCTGTTGTAGTACTGCAATGTTTACGATAACCAGATTGTTAAGGACATTGTTCCCAATGTTTGTCGGTCGAATATGTCCCACGGTACGATTTCTTCGAGCAAAGCACAACGACGGTATTTGTGTTGTAACGTAGCTTTAGCTGTAAGTTTATTTTTACGTTAGCTTTAGAGTAGTTCATCAGATTTAGTTTTACTTACAAAAATCGGTGTGCATGTGTAGTTTTAAGGACAATTCATTTGTACTAGACAATACTTTTCACTTTTTCCTGCATGATTAAGGTAAGTTAGGTTAGGTTCAAACAATTTAGATTAACAACTTACAATTTGCATGAATTTGTATAAAACTTTAGGTAGGAACAACTAATTTCAATAATAGGTTTAGCGGTATGATTATTAGCTTCTGATAGCACGTTTAATAGATTGACTTCAATAGAATGATCTACAATAAACGAGACAATGTAGATCTTCACACTCTATCTCCCTCCTCTCTTTCGGTTCTGTCACTGTGACAGTTTCGTTGACAGTTCACCCGAGCCGCTACTGTACCGTCACAAGCAGTGTTCCCAGTGTCAACATTCTCTCCCCCGTAACACTGGCCACCAGGTCCAGTTTTACTCATCTTATCAACCTCTAGGACCGCCAATCTAGCCACCGGCCTACGCACTAGCCCCCTCGTAGTTTGTACCATAGCCTGCCGTATTCTTCCGTCCACCCCCTTGATTGCTTGGACTATACGACCTCTTATCCACTCATTCCTTCTCCCATCGCCAACTATCAAGACCAGTTCTCCTTCAGTTATCGGCTTCACCTCACCGCACCACTTCGGACGTTTAGTCAAAGTTGGGAGATACTCCCGGGTCCATCTTCTCCAAAACACGTCGAGCTGTTGTTGTATCTGCCCCCAAGAGGTTCGTAGAGCGTCCGCTGGAGTTGTTGCCGGAACAGCAGGTTGCCGCACACCACTTGAGTTGCCCAGAAGAAAATGATTTGGCGTAAGGGATTCGTATTCCTCCGATGTAAGCGGTAGATACGTGAGTGGACGACTGTTCACGACCGCTTCAGCTTCCACCATGAACGTCTCCAGCGCCTCGTCATCTAGCTTGCGTTTTGCGTTACTCCTGCCTACTTTCACAGTCAATGGCCCAAAGAAGTCTACGCCGACGTACGTGAATGGGCGTACGAATGATGCCATCCTTGCAAGCGGAAGCGGAGCCATACGGGGAATCTTGGGTGAAGCCTTGTAAATCCTACACCATTGACACATCTTTATGATCTTGTTCAGTGTTGTCCTAAGCCTTGGAATGTGGTATCGTTGGCGTACCTCGTTCACGACCGTCTCTGCATTACCATGCAGATATGCTATTGCGGCCACCAAACGTGTGAACACATGGCTCCTAGGGAGAATCGCCGGGAATTTCGCCTCCTTTCCAACGTTCGGTGCTGCTCCTATCCGGCCATCCATGCGAAGAATACCGTCTT